ACTTTCCACTACCCACAGCGGCTTTCTATTAGGTTGGCGCTAATAGTAGAGACTCAGACTTAACCTAAGCCAGCCCTCTTCCCCTCCTGTTGTCGTTATGTGCTAATTTGAAACAAACAAACAAAAAATGAAATAGTATAGTCTTCCATTTTCTCTGTTCTCAAAATTCTCAAGGCTTAAGCTAGTTCCATTCATTGACATTAAATCCTGATTCATCTCTCAAATGCCTTTGTTGCTAGGATTGGAAGAAAAGCATTCTCTGAGGTGGGCAGTGTTATTTTGGCTGCCTGAAAAAGAACGGAAAGCTATAGTACTCTCTATGGAATGAACACCTATAGCAATTTCTCACGCATATGGCAATTTCATATATACACCGTGAAACAACGCTGAGCAACCTGCTTAGTAAGGTCAAGCTTCCTCAGCAAACAATGAAATATAAACATATCATACTGCAGTTTCCTACGGCTGGTGAAATTAAATTAGATGATTGTCTGCTTGTTATATGAATCTTCTATTAACTCAGCTGTAGCCAACAGAAATATTGATCTAACACAGAACAAGAAAGCTGATATCTTTAAACTATTGCTTGACCTTTGGTTATTTCCCCTAAAGTATATATTTTTATGAATGTATTTTTATTTTCACCTTAACTTCCTAACTAGGGTCTATGAGGTAAGGTATTTAAGAAATGAAGCTGTTGCATATTTTGCTATTTTACTATCATTCTATTAAAGATTGGAGAAGCAGAAAAGTTAAATGTTTGCTGTGTTAATATGTGCCAGGCTCTATTTGTCTTGCCTCTTTTGGAAATTGCAACCAGCTCCATACTCCTTGCTCCCAGGACGTACTTATCTGTTTACTAGCTGTCAAAGTAAATTTATAGTACTGAGTGACACCATTAGAAAGCTTGGGACAGGCCTTGCTGAGCATACACAGATACACTTGCATACCCATTAAGTTGAAATGTTGCCAAGAACCTATTAACCAATCCTAATCAACTGCTGTTTTCCATTTAAAACACCATTAGTTTCCTATGGTTTGTTGCTCAGGGTATAAGCAGAAACGACACCATCAAGTGGTTAGAAAAGGTGGTGCTTTGCGGGCCGCCTGCATGCCTCTGGAGAATTTGAATTTGGCATTAGTATGTATCACTTTCTTTCCACCTCTGAAATTAATCATGCATTCCAAATATTTAGGACTATCTCATAGAATACAGGATTTTAATACAGCTCATTGCTTAAAGATTGTGGATAATTAATTTGTGCTCAGCCTGCAGAGGTTTTTGTTTCTAAAGAGTACTGTATAATATAATTGTAACCATAAAGAACCGATGACACTCAGTCTAAAGCTATACGTTAATAGACTAACAAAGATCTGCCTACACACCCCACCCCCTTGAGCTTCCTCTCCAAGTTTTTAAAGTTTTCTCTAAGGTAGTTTTGTTTGTTTGTTTGTTTTTTGTTTTTTGAGATGGAGTCTCGCTCTGTCGCCCAGGCTGGAGTGCAGTGGCATGATCTCAGCTCACTGCAACCTCTACTTCCCTGGTTCAAACAATTCTCCAGCCTCAACCTTCCAAGTAGCTGGGACTACAGGCACATGCCACTGTGCCTGGCTAACTTTTGTATTTTTAGTAGAGCCGGTTTTCACCATGTTGACCAGGCTGGTCTTGAACTCCTGACCTCAAGTGATCTGCCCACCTTGGCCTCTCTAAGGCAGTTTTAAATACCTGATATATTATCATAACTTCTAATTGTAAAGTCCCTTGTAAGAACAAGAGTTCTAATAATAGTGAAATGACAAGTCAGCCAAAAAAATGATGTCTGATTTTGTGAGGTTTGCTTTGGGATTGGACACCTGAGAAGATGAAAGATGAAATGTCAAAATGTCAAGAGTTTTTTTGTTTTGTTTTGTTTTGTTTTTTTCCCAAACAATGCATTCTCTGCAATCATATCGCAAGGAACAGGATTTATGTTACAGTATCTCAATATCATTTCTTCTTATAAAGAACATGAAAAGTGAAGAATTTAGTGAGCCAACTGTATTCCCCAACTCAGCAGACAACAAAACCATATACAAACAATTCATTTGAAAAGTTCAAACAATTCAAAAAAATACTAAATACATTTCCCAACAATAGGAACACTTTGGTGGTAGGAAGCATTTAAGATAATAGCACTGCTCCAGTAGTTTCATTTAAAAATAAATATTTCACCTTCTTTTTCCAGGTTGTTAAAATGTTATCTTTATTTATTGTAGCTCTTTAAGCACAAGTTGTTCAAAAGTTAACACTAAACAGGAAATTTAATGTACTAACCAGGTACATTAGAAGGTGAAACAAGAGGTACAGTAAAAGGAGCCAAGTATTGTGCAAGTGCAGCCCAATGTTGGCAATAACGAAGCCATGGTCTTTGCATGTTCCCTACAGGTACTCAGCACTATGTTAGGCACATGTTAGGAACTTAATTAAGCATTTGGTGGTTGATTAACTGAGTGATAAAAGACTTATGAATAGTAAAGAGCTTTGTAAAATGGAACAATTAAAATCAGAGAGAAAGGGCAAAACTAATTGTGTGAAAGTGGCAGATGGTCGATAAAGCTGTGAAGTCCTGAAGTCTGTAAACTTGCAGAAGCATTGCATTTTAGAGGAACACTGTCAGCAATCAAGGGACCATGGCCTCGTGGAAAAGAAAGAGGCTGCACAGACGATTATCTTCTTGGGAACCCAAAGTCTGTCAAATAGGCCAACTTAATTAAGAAACTTATTTTAGATGTACAAAATGTGTCCTAGTCAATCTACTAGAGAGTAAAGACCATGGGTAGTGGCAACCGCTACGTGGATTCCTCCAGTAATAACAATGCTGTATTCTGAATTATTTGGAGAGGGCAAGTTAGGTCCCCATTGAACATGCCATGCTATGGGCCCTTCTTAGCCACAGAACTTACGGTTTTACCAATGCTGCAGAACATCAGAAGCACCTTTCACAGAAAATACCAGAGGGAGGCTACTCCAGGACAGGTCTCGTAGTCAGCACTCTCAGACAAGCCAGCCCTCCCTTCCTCCCTTTCAGTGCCCTTTTTCTCAGGTGAGAAAGATAACATTTTAAAACTCTTTTTCTTCAGGTGAGTTTTCTTATGCTTTCACCTCCATCTGGTTTTATTTGTCTCTAGAGAATGATGCCTGAGGGTTCAAAGGAAATGATGAAGGTGTCAGAGGTGTTACGGGTTTTACCTAAGGATGTCCAATACACTAAAACCTACTGACTACATTTCTGCCAACAAAAGAAACACTGAAAAATGAACAATGAGAAGTAGCTGATTAAGATAGGGTTACACAGGGGAGGAGAGGAACTAGATAGGTTCTTATAAAATTTAGAAGCCAAGCCAAACCGTAGCAGGACTTGGTTAATTTAGGGTGGGGAAATATGATTCTGAAAGTCATCCATGTGTGGATATTGTCATTTTGCTTTCTTTTATGACACTTATTACATTTTTTATTTTGCTTATTTTTTGTTAACGTTCATTGAAAGGTAGCTTAAAGACCAAAGTTACAGGCTATGGATAAAAAGACTCAAGTTTGAATGTGAGCTCTGCCTACTTCTCTAATCCTGTACCTTCATTCATAATGTGATAACCAATACTTGCCTCTCCAGGTTGTGGTGAAGACTGGAAAGGCATGCAAAATGCTTTGTATATAATAGGCAGTCAATAAATGTTAGCAATTATCACTATTTAAACAAAATCCCAATTGTATTTCATAAGAACTAGTGGAGAAGGTCTGTTTTTAGAGCTAGGTCAGGAGAGGAAGGCGCATCATCGTGGCCCAGAAAGGTGATGGCAGCATCCTAGTGGGATGCTTAGGAAAGGGCTGCTATGATTTTGTTAGTCACACTCTCTCCAGGGCTAGCTGTGGTTGCCTCTTCATCAGGAGCACTTTTCTCATTATTGTCACCATATACAATACATCCTTTCCTTAAATACAATATGTATTTCCAACATTCATCCTTTCTCTTTAATCTAATGCTTATTTTAGCTCAAAATTTATTTTAAAATAAGCTTTACCAACTTATTTTAGGGCCTTAGTACCTTTGCCTTGGATAATATGATCTCTTAAATTATTTCTTTCACTTCAGTTTCCTTTTCTGTCTATCCATTCCATATACTACTATTTGATAGATTTTCCTTAATCACAGTTGGATTTTATCACTCCCCCTGCTCAGAAAACATTCAATAGCTCTCTAATTCCCATGAACAAAACCCAAACTCCCCAGTCAGTAATTCAAGAACCTGCATGCCCTAGGCCTAATTTAAATCTTCTGCCTTATCTCAAAGGCTATCAGTTACACAGCTTGTTGTTCCCTAAATAAAACCGCATTCTCTCCTTTCTTATGTGTTTCCCCTGTGAAATATTTTTCTTTCCATCTCTGAATGTCTCATTTTCATCTCAAATGCCCTTTTCCCTTGAAGCCTTTCCTTGTTTGCTTCTCTGAACTATCTCTCCATTCTCTGAATTTATATACCACATTTCCTTACCCCTCTCCAACACAACCAGTGCCGCTGGAAAGACAGAGACCATGTCTTTTTTGTTTCTGTAACTCTCAGTGCCTAGAATAAGGCTTCACATATTATACAATCAATAATTATTTTTAGCTTAAAAGTGAGTGAGCAAATTAAGTATTTTGGATGCAAAGTTATATGAAAGAAAGCAACACAATAGACAAGGAAACAAGGATACGGTTTCCCAACTAATCACACAAAACAATACTGCAAAAAGACACATCTAACCAGTTACAGTGAACATTTGTCTTTTTAAAAAATTTATTTCGGCTGTTCAGAATCTGAATGCCCTTTCTACATTTGGATAATTCTCCATATGTGAAGAAGGAAGAGTCTACCTCCCACTGTAAAACTTAAAAAGGAGGCTGACTCACTTTCCTAAGCTCTCTCGTAACTAGAGCATGGGCACCTGCCCTAGGCCTGGCCAAACAGCTGAAGCCACTCACGACTTTGAATGTGGATCCAGGGCACAAAGAAGCAGGGAGAGAAGAGAATCTATTCTGGCGGCACTGATAGCAGCAGCGGTATGGAGCTTCCAGGTGCAGTGGCAGCATCCATGCCAGCGGGACAAGCTGCAGCGTCCATCCTTCAGCGCTGGTACAGCGGCACCTCACCAGATGGGTGCTCATGATATTGGCTGTGTTTCTAGGATCCCAGCACCACTTGGTTCTGCCTCTTTTCTGGGACTCATTTTCCAGCATCCCCAGCAGCTCTGCCGGCTACTCAGGTTCCATTGAATAAATCCATTTGCTGCTTAAGACAACCAGGGTCAGATCCTGCTGCTTGTCCCCCATCACCTTGACTTGATGCATGAGGCTTGCAGAATTGTTCAGGGGACCCCTCCACACCACAGCGAGATTCTCTCAGCTTGGTTTTGCCTCCTCATTATTTCTCATCATTAAAAGTTAACAGCCCTACATGCTACCTTCATTAATTTTTAGGCAAATACGTTTTAAAGTCAGATTGCGTTTTGATTTCTATAAATAAGCTATCCTCTATTTCTCCTAAACAAATCAGTCTAAATTAGAGCTTGCCATAGGGATACCAGTCATGCATTGAAATTCCAAAGCATACCAAAATAGAAAAATGCCTGCTATAATAAATGCCCTCAGGATTGGGCCACTTCTATTTTTGTAGACTTACAAAATACTAGCCATAATTATATTTCGCACCTCTGATATGCCTGTACACTCAGAATTTTCCTAGAAAATGTGCCATTAATTAATCATGTCTCAAGGAAATCACATTATTTATGACTGATACAGATATAACAATAAGGTTTAGTGGTTAAGAGCATGGACTCTGCAGCCAGACTGCCTGGGATTAAATCCCAGGCTGTGATGGGATATTGGAGTTACTTAATCTTTTGTGCCTCTATTTCTTATCTTTAAAATGAGAATAATAAAAATGCCATTGTGAAGATTAGATATTTTACACATAAAATGATTAAGACAGTACCTAATCCCTATTAAAAAGTCATTAAAATGTTTGTTTTTATTATATTCTCGAATTGTGCCTACTCAGGGAAATTATTAGAATGCATGACAGTCATGTGTGTGATTAGTTAAATAAAATTATCTTTCCCTATAGCACATTGTGCTCCTTATCTTCCCTGTGGTTGGATGGAGCCATGTTTCTATCTCTTGCCAATGAACCAGTCACAGGCATGAGAGTATTTAACTGGCAGTGTGAGATTCTCCAGGGTGCTCACTTCCCTCTAATATGGCAAGGAGGAATGTTTAATATGGTGGAGACTGGAAGGCTGGAGTGATTAAAATTAGTAGAGTTCATTTGCTGCCCTGAGATGGGTATATTACACGAGCAAGAAATAAACCTCTGTTGTTTTAAGCAACTGACATTTTGGGGGAGTGCTTGTTACTAAAGCATAATGTAGTGTTATCTTGACTAATGCAGAATGCATGGAAATTAGCTGGATATTTCAATTAAATATTATTTCCTATTCAAGTGACACAGCATCCTCAGAAATACCTAGAGTGGGATAATACCAGTAAATAATAAAATTATTTTTCCATTATAGGCAATCATCCTGCTTACCCCCTCTCTATTTGTCCATCTATCATCCTTGTTAGCAACTCAAGGACGGGGGGGGTATGTCCTACTAATCTTTGAATCTCAGAATTTAGCACAGTGCTTAATATACCAGTTGGAACTCAGGAAATGTCTGCTAACTCAAATGAAGCTGTAGAGTGCAAATGTGATCCGATCAGATGTTCTCATTGTGGAAGTTGCTAATCCATGACTTTGGAAGCTAAATTAGCTTCATCCAAGAGGGCACTATTTAGCATAATAAACTAAACCTGACAGGCATTCCCAGTACAAGCACCAATTTAGAAAGATTTATTTAGGAAACAATAAATGACAGCTGCCACAGGGTACATATACCACCTGCTTAATTCTGCCATTCCAGTGTCTGATTTTACTTTGGCTTATATTCATAAGAGTATGGCAGAGTAGAGTTGTCAAGAATGTGAGAGATTGTCTACGCAATACTCCATGTTAAATATAACAGAATTGAGGCCCAGGAGCAAAAAACATAATAACTGGTGTCAGGCACAAAGCTAGTTAGTGCCAGAAGTAAGAGTCTTAGATTTTTGTCTTTCCACAATACCAAATAAAGAGCATACACCACATAGATGGTCACTAAATACATTATTTTGCATGCAGTTATAAGCAGTGTTTTAACACTGGTTAAAATCAGCATCCTCCCTGTAGCTTTTAAAGAGGACATGTGCCTGAGCTCCATCTTTTGGGATTCTGATTATGGAACTGGTGCTTGGCAACAGTTGGACTCACTGCCAATTTCAGCAATAACCATTTCTATTATTTAAACAACTAACTACTTCCTAAAAGAACACCTGGAATGTTTTTGTGTTAGGAGAGATCAGGAAAACAGGAATCATCATCAGCCTAAAGCCACATTAATCTATGTAGCTGTACTGAATGAATGTGTGCCACATTCTAAGTTGTTCAACTTAAGATACAAGTTCTTGTTGGAGGAATATATTCTAACAAACCAAGAAACAGGCTCCAGGGTCAGTATATCTGGATGCTGACTGTCATGAACTAGCTTCATGTTAAGACTATGTACATAACTAAGAGTAGAAAGCCATCTTTCTTGGGCAAGTGAGGGCTATGATGTCTAAGCACTGATCCATTCAAAAAATATTTGTGAGCGTAAGTGTTGGTCCATTTGCGTTGCTATAAAGGAATACCCACCCAAGACTGAGTAATTTATAAAGAAAATGAAGTTTATTTTGGCTCACAGCTCTGCAGGCTGTATAAGAAGCATGGTGCCAGCATCTGCTTCTGGCGAGAGCCTCGGGAAATTTCCAGTCATGGTGGAAGATGAAGGGGAACATGTGCCACATGGCAAGAGAGAGTGAGAGATCGAGCAAGGGGTGGGGGTGTGCCACACATGCCAGATCTCATGTGAACTCAGAGTGAGAACTCATTACTGCGAGGATGGCACCACGCTATTCATGAGGGAGCTCCAAATGCCTCCCATCAGGTCCCACCACTAACACTGGGGATTACATTTCAACTTGAGATTTGAAGGGACAAACATCCAAACCACATCAACATCTATTGTGCTGGGAACGAAGGATACAACTTCCAAAATAGACAAAGTCATGGCCCTCATGGAGCTTACTGTCTCACAGAGCTCTCTAATATAAACGGACCCATAGGAATAGTCAGGTGAGCAGTTTGGGGCAAAGTCATTGCTGTGGTCTGAATATGTCCCCCAACATTTATATGTTGGAAACTCAATCCTCAGTGCAGCAGTGTTGGGAGATGGAGCCTTCTGGGAAGTGTTTAGGCCATGAGGGCTCTGCCTTTATGAATGGATTAATACCATTATAAAAGGGCTTGATGAAGTGAGCTTGGTCCCTTTTCTTCCTTTCCCATCCCTTTCACCACATGAGGACACAGCATTCCTCCCCTCTGGAAGATGTAACAACAAGGTGCCATCTTGGAAGCAGAGACCATTCCCTCACTAGATAACGAACCTGCTCATTCCTTGATCTTGAACTCCCAGCCTCCAGAGCTGTGAAAAAATAAATTTCTATTGTTTGTAAACTACCCAGTCTGTGGTATTTTGTTATAGAAACACAAATGGACTAAGACAATCATGTACAGTAGCATTTACTGATCCTGAAACAGCATGATGTGGAGAAAAATGCATGTTTCCTCAATGATCACTGTTAGTGGGAATGGTGAGAGATAAGAGATGACACCTCTGGAAGGGCTGTCATTGATGTGCCACGAAACTTAGACTCTATTATATAGGTCAGGTCCTCAGACTTTAATATGAAGTCCTGAATCTTGTTTAAAATGCAAGTATGTGAACACCATCCCCAGATAATCTGATTCAGTAGACTGGAATGAAGCTCCTTGGGTCTGCCTTTTTAACCAGCACAGCAGGAAATCTCACCCAGGTGGTTAGAAACTCTGCTGTAGATAAGCAAGATAGTCTCAAGGGCAGCAACACATTTTAGAAAGATCACCGGCCTTGAGGTCAGGCCTCTAGGCTCCAGCCAGAGTCAGGTCACTCTCTACTATTCCCCACCATCTCTCTTGTAACTTTGCCCAAGCACACAATTTCATTTAAACATCCAGCATTTAAACATACCAACAACAGAATAAATAGCAGCAGCAATGGACACTACAATAAAGCAATGAATCTTTACCAGTGATTAAGAACTGGTTTTATCACACACCTGTACAGTTATGTGAGGGGAGGATTGAGACATAATTGGAGAATTCCATGGGGAAAAAAATTCCAAACCTTTTTATTGAACTGGAAAAATCTCTCCAGTCAAAAGAGCCAATCCAATACTTGATGTAAACACTGACTTTAAAAAATACTGCAGTTGAATATACTAGCTTCTGGGCCTCAATATACTATCAAGGAAGAAACAAAGCAAATACTTAGAGAGTCAATAAAGTCATTAAAGATTCTGGTCACTTCTATAAACCCTCAGTGGTCCCCCTCCCCGCAAGCTATCATGATTACTATTCAGGCCAATGAACTGTGTTTCTAACCATTAGAAAATCAGCAGCTTATTGTGGTATACTGTGTGTGGGATTGATTGGGTTACACTACTTTAAATGAGTGTGAGATATGAAATCATTATTTCAATATTGTTTAAAAATTAATTAGAACTTTTCAGAATTGTTTTAGAATATCAAGGTTTAATTAACTTATTTGTTTAATAGACCCATATGTGACCTTCTCTGCAGAAAGCCTGTGGATTTCTTCAGCATTTAATAGTCTAGTGGGGAGGAGGAGGAGTGGGTTTTTGTTTTTTTTGGAGAGCTGAAATACACTCATTGTCTTTTTATCGCTTTAATAGTTCTTTGCGTTGCAGGTAAAGCATTATTAATTCATGTCCAATGAGAAATATACAGGATTTTTGACGACATAGCAAAAACTAAGCAATAAAAACAACCACCTGAAGAGAAGGGGAGGAATAGGTCAGTCCTTTAGATGAAAACAGGTAATTCAAGTAAATGCTCAAAAGCATAGTTTGCGTATTTCCTAATAGCCAGAAAGAAGTGTCTCCATATCAAAGTTCATTCCTTTGCCAAGGGAGGGGAGGGGTATTATTCCACAGTGTCGAATTTTAGCGCATTCTTCAGTTCATTTTATTCTTGCCTATGTGTAGACAGTCTCCACTTAGAATATGTGAATGCCAACCCAGTTAATGTCAAAAATGAAAAGAGGATTCCCTCTTGACTCCTCCCCCTTCATTTTTGGAGCAATTTGCATTAAATCAAAGTTAAGTTATCTTGTCAACTTTGATCTCTCCTCAATTGCTCTAAATCCTCTAAAAAATCCATTTCCCAGGCTGCCTGGTGAAACTTCCTAAAATGAATCTTTATTAAACAATACCTTTGCAGCCAAAGGAGTTTCTACACAAATTGAACCAAAGTATGAATATCCTTCACAATAAACCAAACTTCTTTTATCCCACTATGAGACTGCTTCAACTAGCCCCTGCAAACATTTTCCGCAGCTCACACAGGGGGAAACAGTCATAACAAAGGGTTTCCTCTGCAAGACTAGTACATACTCTAAACACTGTCATTCTTTTTATGAATAAAAGCATAATAGTTTCTTCAACTATCAAAAATGTTTAAATATTATGTGTATCATTATACATTCAGAGGCTGACACTGCTATTATTTTACATGATCACCAATTGATGCCAATAGGAATCATTTCCAGAGAATGGTCATAATGGTCTACATAGCAAGTAAATTATTGCTTGAGAGACATTTTTGCTGTGTGACTACACTATTGAAAGTTATACCCAGCTCCATTTTGTAATACTGTCTTAAATGGCCAGGTGGAGTCTTAGTACTGCAGCTCAAAATACATTTCAAATGATGTCTAGAGATCTCTGTTCACCTGAAAAAAAATGTGAGGGTCCATTCCAAAGAAAAATTCTATTATTATGCTGTGTCATAAACAATTATCACAGACAATAACAAGCCACAAAGAAAGTCACTTGTTAGTGTGGATTTAAACTGAGAGTTCTGAATATACAGTCCCAAATCAACCACACCCTTTTCCCCACCCACCCTAACATCTTCTAGACCAAGGCAAATCTCTCTACCTGTGCTTGGAGTTTATCCCTTCTTACCTGTTGGGAACTTAGTTCTATTATTTCTTTTTCATTTTTGTAGCCTCAGTCTCTCCCTCTGCACTGCCTGTTTTTCTTCTGCTAGAGTTTTATCTTTCCCATCAAAAATAATGTTTCTTTGACCCTGATTTCTCCTTTATATAACTATCTCATGTTCCACCGTCTCCTCACTTCACAAATGAGAAGCAAATGCTCAATAAATATTTATGGATTAAACGGGTAAAGAGAAATCTATTTCCCTATTGCTTCATCTCACATTTACTCCTCATTCCACTTCAATAGATAGAAACTACTGAGCCCATTCCTCTACCACAGCTGGTCTCCAGAGGTGGCCAATAACTTTCTCATTAAAAAGTTCCATGAGCTCTTTACCCTTCATTCTATTTGACCTCTACACAGCATTTGATATTGCTAACCAGCCCTCATTATGAATATTCTCTCTTTCTTAAATTTTCTTATAATATCCTAAGTCAATTATATCACCAGTTCTTTGAAAACTCACTGATGGCATGTGTTTTTCTAACCCTCTCCTCCTTTTTGCTCTACACTATTCCAATAGGAGATCTCCCCCACAGACACAATTTCTACTACCTTCTCTGGCAGACTCTTCCAAATTTATAATCTTAGTTCTCTCTCTCTCATTTTTTTTTTCTTTTTCACCTTTTAGATCTGTCTTTCTAAATTCCTTTTGTACCTCTCCTGATAGAAAATCTTGCTGGCACCTCAAACTAAACAGATCTGAAACAGAATTCAATCTGCTCTTCCTCTGTATTAGTCCGTTTTCACACTGCTGATAAAGACGTACCCGAGACTGGGTCATTTATAAAGGAGAGAGGTTTAATTGATTCACAATTCCACACGACTGAGGAGGCCTCACAGTCATGGCAGAAGAGTAAGAGAAGTCTTACACGGCAGCAGGCAAGACAGAATGAGAACCAAGGGAAAGGGGAAGCCCCTTATAAAACTCGTGAGACTTGCTAACACGAGAATAGTATGGGAAAAACCATGCCCATGATTAAATTATCTCCCACTGGGCCTCTCCTACAACACATGGGAATTATGGGAGCTACAATTCAATATGAAATTTGGATGGAGACACAGGCAAACCATATCACCTTCTAGTCTCTAAGCCCTCCTTTCCTCTGTGTTCTCACCTTAGCTGAATAGTAGCACCATCCTCCTGGTTACATAGTTAGAAACTTGAGTGATTTTTAAGGAGGCTCCCATTTCCCTTACCTGTAACTTCCACTCAGTGTCAACTCCTCTTGATACTTTTTTGAAATGTCTCTTGAGTTTACCTCATACTTTTCCATTTTCCTTGCTATTGTCCTAGCTTAATTTTTTAGAATTTCTCAGTGAGACAATTACAGAAGCTATTAACTGATCTCTCTGCCTCCAATCTCATCCGTCCCCAACCCGTTTTTTTTCATATTAGTAGACTAAGTTCTCTGAGAGTAGAAATATCTTAGTCACCTTCGCATTCCTCTGCACAACTACTCAATACGTATTTGTGGAAATGAACTCCCACTGCCAGCAATTATCTTCCTAAAATACAAATATGTTCCTATAAATTCACTGCCTCCAAATATTCAATGACTCTTGCT